AAAAAAAAAAAAGGTAAATACTGGTGGTTTATGCCTATAATCCTAACTACTACTCAGGAGGCTGAGATCTGAGGATCATAGTTTGAAGCCAGCATGGGCAGAAAAGTCCATGAGTCTCTTACCTCCAATTAATCACCAAAAGGCTGGAAGTGGAGCAAAAAAGGTTCAGGAACAACACTCAGTTTCTGAGTTTACCCCCTATGACTGCCACAATGTAAGTATATATGTATGCATGTATACCCAATATCTACATGAGCTTAGATGTGGCACTATATCTATCTATCTCTCTCTCTCTCTATATATATGTATCTAGATAGATACATATATACATGCATACACACACACATACACACACACATACACACACACACACACACATACACACAGAGCTAATAACCACATGAGGCTACACGTAGATCCTTCCCCAAAAGAAGGGGAAGAAGAAGAAACCTTGCCAATTTTTATTGTAGATTATTGGAGACCTTGAAGTTGGCACAGGTAAACCATGTTCAAACTATTGACCCAAAAATACAGCTAGCAGATGAACACAGAGTTAAACTATTAAGGTTGTGGTAATTCATTGCATAACAATATAACAAATACAAGTATATCTAGAACACAATTATTTATCATATTTTTTTTGCCAATCCTGGGATTTGAACTCAGGGCCTGGGCACTGTCCCTGAGTTTCTTTTGTTCAAAGTTAGTACTCTACCTCTTAAGCCACAGCTCCACTTCCGCTTTTTCTGTTTACATGGTACTGAGGAATCAAACCCATGGCTTCATGCATGCTAGGCAAGCACTCCATCACTAAACCATCTTCTCAGCCCCATTGATATTTCTTGAAACCTTAAATGGATCTACAAAGACAAAAATTTATACTTACTTGGAATATAGAAAACATGTATAAGACCTTTGGTTCCTTTCAGTGTTATACAGGGCTCAGTACTAAGTGAAATAGGGTATTTCATGTTATCTAAAAGGAACAAAGATAATGCCAACAGTTATTTTTAAATCAAATAAGTATAGTATTCTGAATACTGGCTCCCAAAAGATGCCTTTTGCAGCTGGTGCCAGTGGTTCACACCTGTAATCCCAGCTACTTAGAATGCTGAGATCTGAGGACTGAAGTTTGAAACTAATCTTCAATTAACTACCAGAAAACCAGAAATAGTGCTGTGGCTCAACGTGGTAGAACACTAGCCTTGAGCAAAAGAGCTCAGGGACAGTATCCAGGCCCTGAGTTCAAGCCCCACAACTGGCAAAAGAAAGAAGGAAAGAAGAAAGAGAGAAAGAAAAAGAGAAAGGAAGGAAGGAAGGAAGGAAGA